ATGAGAGATGCTTCCACTGGAACTCGCAGCAAAAAGAGAGAAGGCCCGGAGGCAGACAGCGATAGGAGGCTGTCAGAAGGCCCGCAGGCTAGAACAGCGCGTTATCGTGGCCCAGGAAGCTAGAACACTGCCCGGACGGCATTGAAGATGATAGAGTTGGGCGTCCTGGGTCTCTCGAGGCGAGCAGCGGATGAACGGTTGAGCCGCCGCGCATCGTCCTGGACGGCGTCGCGCGCGCCCGATCGCGCAAGGACGCGTGCTTCTGCCGTGAACGTGCTGTTTGGCGTGCTCCGACCACGGGCTGGTCGACATCAAATGCAGATGGCCTCGGGACGCGGTGGGCAGAGTACTTGCACGCCGCAGATGGGTACCTGGGCGCACCGAGGCGGGCACTGGCAGTCCTGCATAATGAAAGGAGGGAGAAGCATCAAGGGGCAGATCACGTCGATCCGTGCTCAGCATGCATGTCCGAGCGGCACGCATCGGGGTTGTGTGCGCGCGCGCGCGCACTGCACCGTCCCCGACGACGTGGCTCCGGAGGCGAGCAGCGGTGCCTCTGCATCCGACGCGAGCGCCACGACGGAGACTTGGCTGGCGTGCACATCTCTGCATTCGCGCAACATCAGCGCATACGGCGACGGTGTGTGCAGCGCGGCCGCTTCTGGCAGGAGCGTCGTCCGTTCCCGGCGCGGATCCCCGACGACGCGCTTCTGGGCCCGCCGGTGGTGCTGCGTGGGCGTTGCCTCCCGGCCTGCAGCGCGCGGCAAAGACTCCCCTTGCGCCGTGGATGCGCAGCGCCTGTCCGCATTCGGGCAGAGCTGCCCCGTCTGGAACAAGACTCTTTTCTGTGCACGCTAAGAGTGGGAGGGTACGCGGATGCGGACCACATGGCGTTGCAGATGCAGATGGCCGGAGCAGCTGCGCGCGGGGCTGGCCGGTCGCTGGGTCGCGTGGCCCGAGCGGTGACGTCGAGGGCGACCGGCGTTCGGGAGAATCCATGGCGAGGCTAGAAGGCTGGCGTGGCCGTCCGAAGGGCGTCGAACATGGTCGAACCAGGAGGGAGAGAGTTTGCACGAGAAGACGAGCGATATGCGCAGCTGAGCCCCGGGTGCAAAGCCGCGCACGGTCCATGCGTGCATGCATGCATCGAAACATGACCCTGCCTGCGAAAACATCGCAGACCATACCCGGCCTCGAAGCTGACAGCTTAATTAAATCCACGAGCAGCATACGCTCTGCCAGACAAGGGGCTCGGTGAGCGAGACAGTCGACCGGGAACATGTACATGAACAGATGCACGTCAGGCCTCCCGATCGCACCTGCCTGACGCGTCCTGCTATCAATGCTCAACTCGCTCATTCATCGCGTCCTCTCGATCGAGCTGTTGCAATTCCTCTATTGGTATACCAAGACACAAACCAGACGTCATATCATGGCTACATCCACAACGTGTGCGACACCGAGTGCAAAGAGCAGGATGAAAAAAAACAAATAAAAGCGGGAGAACCTCTATAGAGCCGTGCTACGAGATGAGTGCGATGCATGCATGTAAAGGAAAAACTTGCTGGATAAAAAAACACTGAAGCCATACACAAAGGAATATCAAAAGGCAGTGAAGGTGGGCGAGGGCGCACTAGCAGTGCAAAAGATGACGACGGTATATGTGATTGTATGCGTATATATATATCAATATTGCGTGCTTGACGATGGCGATGATGAGTTGCTGAGCAGAGAGAGACGAAAAGTGAGCGGCGGAAACGAGCGTCGAGCGGCCAATCAGTGTGGGGGGCCGGCCTTCAAAAGCACAAGCAGGAGAGTCCGCGCCGGCCAGAAAAAAATGTCGGCCAGAGCGCAGGTTTTCGCGTGAGCGGTGGTTGCTGATCATAGCAGTGGATCCAAGGGGAAAACGGATGCGAAAAAGGAAGAGATGGAGCAAAAGTTTTTAAAAGTACAACAATCCAGAGTCCGTAGGGGTGTTTTGATGGGCGTCCAGGCGACGCGGGACTTGCTGGAGATGGTCACAAGAGGGTCTGATGATGAGTGCGATGAAGGGCTGAGGCAGAGGCAGAGATCGTCGACGGGAGGTGTTCACTATTGCACGACGCCTCCCAGCCCCTGCATGATCGCGAAGGTCCTCTCCTGCCGCTCCGCGCGCCGACCCCTAGCCTGGAACGCCTCTTTCTCCTTCTCCGATTCCTCGTCGAACACGTGCAGCTCGTCTTCGTGGATGTACGTCGCCGTCGTCCTCTTCCGCCCCGGCGGCTGACGCCACATCGACGAGAGGTCGACCCGGCTCTGCACGCGCGACGACGGCGCAAGGCCGCGTCCGAGACGCACCACCCGCTCCTTCTCCCGCTTCCCCGCGGGGGCTGCCTTGCTGCTCTTCTCCGCCTGCCGCTGCCTGTTCAGCTCTTCCTGCACGAAGAACTCGGCGCCGGGGCGCGCGAGCCCGTCCTGCATCGGGAACAACGGCTGCGGTGACGCACGGTGCGTTCGCGGCCGGAAGCCTCCCTGGCTGGGGACCCCCACCCGCGGGATCGGCACGCTGGGCTTCGGGCTGGGCGGTCGTGATGGCTCGCGCGATGGCCCGGCACTGGAGGATGCCACCAGCTCGTCCGTCTCGCGACACGCACGAGAGAGCGAGCATTGGCGGCTGAGCGAGTGCGTGTGGACGCCCTGCGGCGGCAGGACGTGTCCGTACGCGTACGGCGGGTGCCGTGCGCTGCCCGCCCACTCACTCACGCGGGTGCTAAAGGTCTTGACGGCCGCGTGCACCCAGCTCTTCTTCGCCGGACGGCTCTCGGGTGTCTTCTCCTCCTCGTCCTCCTCCTCGACGTCGCCCGCGATGCTCACGGCAGCAGACCCCGGGCACGAGTTGAGGTGCTGCGAGTTCCGGAACTGTGCCGGGTGCAGGCTGTTCGGGCGCGAGGACGGACGAGATTGAGGGCGGGACGGCGGACGGGAGGCGGTGTGTGGGGTAGCTAGGCTGCTGAGGCTAGCGGTCGCGCTCTGGGTGGTGAGGCTTGGGAGCGAGATGCGGGGGTTGAGGATGGGCTGCACAGGTGAGAGGGCTGGCGACTCGTCATACGCAGATGATGATGCGTGAGGGAGCGCAGTGCAGGTTGCGGTGTATGGTGAGCAGACGCTGCTCTCACGGCTTGGGCTGGGGGGACGTTGGTGCTGTGATGGAGAAGTGCTGTAGAGAAAAAGCCGTGGGGGCGCAGGCTTGCGGGTGCTCACGCTGAACGGCAGTGAAGGGCGAAGCGTTGCCGAGGATGGTATCGGGTGTGGGTGGCTCTTGGAGCGGGAGCGCCGTGGGCGGTCTGAGCTGCTCGAAGCGGCGCTGCTGGTGCTTGCGCGTGGCCGTATGAGTTGCGGGGACGTCTTGTATGAGGACGAAGGCTTGGAAGATGAGGAGGATGGAGGGGCGCCTAGTGGTATAGAGGCCGCCCATGCAGCGACGCCGTCGGCGCCTTTGCCGACCCAGTCTTCGGCATGGGTGATGTCGGGATGGGGATCATCTTCTGAATGGGGATGGAAGGGGAAAACCAGGGTCGGAGGGGTCGGAGAGGGCGGGGGACGAAGGGCGGGACGGGATGACAAGCGGGAGCTTGTCGGCGCGGTGGAGGTCGCGACAGGCGTCCGAGCAGAACTGGTCGCCTTCCTGTGGGAAGGAGGTGAGCAGGGGCGGGAACGAGAGAGAGGACGGGGACGCACCTGAGGACGAGAGTCGCCGCAGCGGAGGCACCATTCTGTGTCGACGCCGTTCATCATGTTGAGGGGAGAGTGGACTGCAGTGCAAGCAGCATGCAAGGGACGGCCAACGAGGTCGTTATATCATTTGCCCGGTGGACCACATCTACCGTTATCTCGGGTCCTCCTTCCGTTTTGGGCCAGTATGACTGTTCCCACAGAAAACAATTCAGATCCACCGCCGATCTCACGCTTTCCCCTTGTCACGGCTGTGTCACACATCTGTCACGAACCCTGGCTGGGTGCGGTCCACGCTCGATTCGCGATGTGATGCCCCGAAAGCGGGATGCTGCATCCTTGGCTGGCTGGCCTGGGCTCGGCGCCCCGCCACGTCAGCGCGAGTCACCGCCAGCGACCGACGGATGCCAAAGAGGGATGCGCCGCCGTGCGTCCTGTCGAGCACCCTCGGACGGGAGAAGCAACGCCGCCGGTGCTGGCGATACCGCCGGCTCGCGACTCTCAGGCCTCGTGCGCGCCACCAGGATGTGCTCCCACAGGACACACATCTGATGGGACTGTGTACCGAAAAGACGTGTAATGAAACCGGGACAGCGAGAGTGCAGCTTCTCGCCCCGCCCTCTTACCCTCTATCGCTCTCCGACCCTCCGTGCACATGCCCGGTCCGACCCCCGCGACCTGGTCTCCTCGCTTCTCTCCCCGCCCTGCGCCCTCCGTCCCGCTCTCGCCACACCACTCGCCTTCTCCTGGGCTCCTCCACGCCGATCCTCCCTTCCCCACTGTCTCCTTATGCAAATCAGCAATCCTCTCCGCCGTACTCCCCGCGTTCGCTGCACCAGCGGGCTTCCACCGACGCATCCTTCGCCCCCGGCCCTCGCCTGGCACATCTCCTGCCCACGATCCGTCACAACACCTGTTTGTATCGCTCTCTGTCAGCACTTTATGTTGATTCTGATCCATGTCGAAGCCAGCACTCGGAACCAGAGCTCCCGCGCTTGCACGACCCTAGCTCAGATCCTCTGCAAGAACCCAACAGCGACGGGCTGCACGGAAGCTCAACGTCTAACCACACGGCGGGCCGTACCGCACAAACGCCTCCCCCTCCGAAGGCGCAGGACGAGTAGCAATGAGCGAGGAGCGGGTCGGAAGGACGCGAGTGCCGGCATCGCTCGCCTTCGCCATTCCCAGCCCTCGACCAGCTTCGCGAACGACACCCGCAACGCATCGGGCCACCCCTGCGTGGCCAGCACAGCTGCCCCCGTGCGTGCGTGGACGCGTCGCCTTCGCTCGTCCGTCTTTCCCAGGCTCACGACCCTTTCAGCCTGTCCCACAGACAACCGTCGCGCTTCCATCTTTTTCTCCTGCCAGGGGGAGGCCCCTCAGGCCTGCACCCCTTCTTCTTCCCCTCTCTCTCTCTCTCTCTCTTTCTCGCATCGCACGTGCACCTCAGAAAGCTTACTCCCCCCGCAGCATCCCATGTTTCCCGCCCTGGACAATCTCTATTGGCCTTCCAGTCAGCACAGCACTCCGAGGCATGCGTTTCGGCGATGGCCAACCGTGCTGGACTCCCCCGATTGGCCGCCCCACGGCTAGAGTTTGACCGCTGGGTGTATCTTCGTGAGAACAGGAGCTTGCGCCCTTCCTGCACGCTTTGGATCTCGCTGTATCTTCGTGAGAACGTTGCTGATAATACGACAGGCCAGACGGCGACTTGCTGGCTTATCCCAGCGAATGCCCAACAGACCGGAAGCCTGGCAGTGACAGTGGCGTTCGACAGGCTAGTGTAGTCTAATGCGCCAGATATCCAATATTGTCCTTTCCTCGATCTAATGCAGTACTGTTCCACATCAGGTTTACGTTTCTGCATCCGGCGCACTGTGCTATATGGCGCAGCTAGTCGTCGTCCTCACTAGCGTACTCCACCAAGAGTTCTAGGCCTCCTGGTCTCCGCTTGGGTTCGTCGTCATCCGACCGCCTGCGTTTCTTCGCCGTCGCTGGAGCGCCTGCCGTCCCAACGGCACCCGGCCGTGGGCTTTGAGGGAGCGACGCGGCGAATTCCTCCCACAGCGCGGCGCAGCTCTCGAGGATGCTGCGCTCTGTGAGCACCTGCGTGAGTGCGAGCCGGGTTTTGGTGTAGCCCTCGGGCAAATCCTAGGCAGGAGAGGTCCCCATCAGCACAACGCGTACCCGACACGAAAGAACGGAAGGAATAAAAAGCAAAAGAGGGGTGCGCAGCAACAAAGCGCAAAGCGGGAGACCCACAAACACCTGGCCAAGCCGCCGCTCGAGAGGGAGAAACCCTCATGTGCGCCGTCGCGCCGGTGCGCGGAACCAAAGCGCATCGGGTCCCTGCCCTTTCTCGCACCCCGCACGCGCACCTTGGGTCTCGCAGAGCCCGCAGTATTCCAGCGACCGTTTCCCGCATGACCCACATGGTGCCCCGAACTCCCTGCGCGCGTCGAATCGCGGTTCTGCCCCCGCCCGCTCTGGGGCATCATCACGGAGGGCAAGGACATGAATCGGAAACCGTCGTCACTACCCGTCATCACGTCGTCCAAGCGAGCACCGCATCCCGAGACCTCGGCACCGAGAGCACAATGGACAATGGACAATAGGAGAGAGAGAGAAATTAAAGCGCAGAAAAAGGGTGACATCAGCGGTGCAGACGGTGGAAAACGAATACGAGCCACGCTGCGCTCCGGGTGTTGTCGTCAACGGACCATGGAATACCACAACGTCTGGGAAACGTCAGCAGCAAAGCGTGGCTAGAGGCCAGAGGCAGAGGCACGAAATGAATCAGAAAAGCCACGGACACGGCTAAGCGACGTCGTGCATCGCGACACGTAACGCGTTTCCCGTGATGCGACGCGCACTCGAGCATATGGACAGACAGGCATACGGACAAGACGATACACGGAGAGTAGAAATCGCGACACCAGAGAGGGCATCGCCCGGCAGGACGCTTGGAAGCCGCCAAATGAATCGCCGGGCGCGCGCGAGCGTCGCGGGAGGACCCTGGAGCTGCTCCGCACGCGTCTAGGCCCGCCCTGCGCCACAACGGACCGTGCAAGTGACAGGAGCGGTGGGTGACTCCGCGCAGCTGCGGGCGCGACCCGAGAGGGCTCCGCTTGCGGGCCAGCGAGTGCGCACGAACCGGACGAGTGGCACGCAGACGCGTGATGTGACAGGCGCCAGGCGGTCGAGACCGTGCATTACTTCCCTTCGTGGAAAGTCTGCCAGGCTGGATCGTCGAATGCAGCCGGGCCCACAGCGCGAGAAGGAAGGACAGATATATGAACGTGCACATTCAATCCAAGTCTGACAGAAAAGATTGCATTTTCGATCGCCCGGCACAGGCCCCCGCTATGCGCGTTTTCGACGGTCCAGCCTCGCACGCAGATCGATAGCCAAAGGAGTCTGCAGGTGCCCTGTTGCCAGCACACCACCAGCCGACGCCGCGCATGGATAAGACAGAAACGTGCCAGAACAATTCACCGAGTCAATGCAACACGGTCGTCGTTTGACTGCGGATCTTTCCCCGCCCTCTGGCTTCGCACCCAGACCCCGTCCGTCGTCCACAGAAAAAAATCCGTCGCGACGATACCCGGTGGCGGCCGGGCCTAGGCCCAGTCTGTGGCGGCTACCTCGCTCGAGCCAGGAAGGCCAGCGACATGGGACCGATCGCGGACAGCGCACAGCGAGCGACAGACGACGAAAACAAGGTTCGGTGAGAGGGGTTATGTCCAGCGTGACCCGACACGGCGGAAGCGTGTCCTGTCCTGCGAGATAGCCTAGGGGAAACACAGCGTGATAACCCAGGGGAAGGCACTAGAAACCTGACAAGGGACACACCGCCCAGAAGCGTGACAAACCCAGTTGAGACCAGCGCAGCGCGAACCTTCCCGTCAGGGTACATTGCGGCATCTTCCAAGCACCCTGACAGCCCTGAGCTATCACGCGGGAATGCGAGACCGAATAACAAAATTGAGAGCAAAATTGAAAGAGCAGCGCAAATGAAATGCGAACGAAATTGGAAAATTCAGACAAAATTGTCAGATGAAGGAGTTTGAGCATACGACGTCTCGAGGACGTTGAAATAACGCGGTGCGGTGCGAAAGAGGCGCATACCGAGCCCCTGCACGAGCCCAGGCCAGCCGCGCTCTGCGCAGGGCCCAGCAGCGACGCGAGTGTTGGGCTTGAGAGGGTTGTGCGGGCTCGCTGTGCAAGCTGGCTGCATCGCAAGGCACCGTGCGAGGGCCCTGAGCGCGAACGTAATGGCGATCGTGAAGGCGCAAAGGCTATTCGACCCATGCCTGTCTGCGACCCATCGATGCGGGGAGCGATGTCGTCAGGCGGAGAGGGCGCGCCGGGTCTGTGGGGGTCGATGCATCCAGCGACTTGGCTAGCGAGCGATGGCCATCGCGCGTGACCCCCTCATACGCCTTGGAGGACAGGCTTCGGGTGCCGTCACGACAGTCGTTACGGCACCCCCGCACTCGCACGCCTGCTCGGTGCGAATCAGGTCGCCACATATCTGGCAACAACGCACGCACAAATAGCACATTGAACCATAAAGAACGAGGGCGCGGACGGAAGCTACGGAGATGTTTAGAACAGGCCCTGGCCAGGTGCGTTCCAGGCCTCCTCTATCGAAAACGTACCCACGCACGGCTTATAGACGCCGGAGCATCGCACCTCGACTGTGGGCCGCGTATGAGAGTTGCACAGGCTCCGTTCGCAGCCTGGTATGCGACGGGAGTCAGCCTGATGATGGTAGTCCCCCGCGCAAGTGCTCGCACATCTGCGAACAGGGCTGACGCAACACAGGCTCGCGGGCGAACGCTGTGCTCAGGACGGATTGCATCATGCGAAGCGACGTCAGGGTCTCACAGACGCTCGGCCATAGGGGGCTACAGCAGCAACACCGCAGATATCCAGAAAAGCCGTGCAAGAAAAAAAAGATGGGGTCCCTGCGCATGCTGCGTGACACGGAAAGGTAAAATCACGCGAAGGAAAAGCAAGAATGAGGAAATGAAAAAGAGGATATGATGGCGAGACAAGATGGTGGGAAGAACACTCACATCCAGCTGGGTAACCAGCTCCGGCGTGCTGAGGGCGCTCGCCGCGGGCGTACGGCATCCCAACCGTCTAGCCCGTGCGGACTGGGTGCATATCCACGCTACCATGCGAGCGAGCGTATTCAGCGCCCGCGTGTCCTGTCACAACCCGCAATCAGTACATCAGAGACCGGATAACTCTGGGAACCAAGGGAAAGACCTCGACAGTCGATCGTAGAAAAGAATAGGCAACAGACTTGGGCTGACGAATCACGGTCAGGATGCGTGTCATTGCGGGGAGACGAGCGTGGCATGTGTATCTGGAACGCACTTCGCGGGCGCCGAATGTATGCATAGAATGCAGTGGATACGCTCGTGCACATGTGAAGTTCTATGCGACGCATTGGAGTACACAGAAAGAGCGAGTAGCCCCTAGAGTGCGCAGATGTCCGAAGTGCAACAGACTTCCCGTGAACATAGACCAGTATGTAGTCGCCGATCGCTCGACATGGAAGGGTGCATGGAAGGTTTTTCCAGCGCCGCACTACCAGTCAGAAAGCCAAGACGTGCAGCACAAGGTTTGTTAGACTGAGACGTAGAAGGCGAAGGCGCAGCATGATATCATGCGCCATACACAGGCTAGAAGCACAAGGCGAAAATGAAAACCAGCCAAACAGTGAGCGAAACATACCCTGTCCAACTCTTCCGTGCCTTCATAGCGCGATGGATCTCCACGCTCCTCATCGTCATACGTATCTGCATCGGAAGAAGCCCAGCTTGCACTATCCGGGCGCGCTTCGAAAAGGAGCTGGCTGCGTGCGAGCCGTTCAGCCACCGCCGCCACCTCGCATGGGTCGGTTTCTTGACCCTGCGCACGCCGCGCGTCCACGACGGCGAGCATGGAGCAGTAGAACCATAGCCCTTGCGAGATTTTGGCGTCGCTGTTAATGGCCATGGGCACCGTGGCACAATCGTGTTCATGGTGCCGTCCGAGACCGCCATCGACAGGATCGGGTGTTGATATCGCTGATGACCCATTATCAGGCTGATACACGAGGTTCGAAGCCCCCCACCGTTCGCGTTTTGGGAATATCGCGAGGGCTCGTTGGTAGTTGCGAAGCAGAGTAGCCTGGTCCAGGACGAGACGCTCAGTCGCTGCCCCAAAAGCAGATTGCATGTCCGCCCATTCGAAGCCGACAATGTCGTTCTCATTCCCGTCCAATGCGAAGCCGTACCGTGCAAGCAGCTGCGCGTTTGTGAGTTGTTCGCCGTACGTGTTGAACACCTCTTCCCCCGCCGGGATGAGGCGGTTTGAGACCATGTCGCACGTGTCCGCTTCTTCGGTCGTCCGTGTCGGCAAAATGATGTCGTCGTTCGGGTGTGCGAACCTCAAAACAGGCTCGGCTGCGGCAGTGGGGCATGCGTTGGCCTGTGCGGTCCTCCGCCACTGTGTTCTGGGCCCGGCGTCAAGATATCGAGTTGATGGAGCATTGCTTGGGTCCTTCTTCCCTATTGGCACGTTCTCGTTGTCTTCCTCCAGATCGTGAGGACACTGAGCGAGCGAACCACAGCTGACGCATACGTCGAACTCGCTCTGTTGTCACGCCCGCCGCAGGACGACGACCACGTTGTCATTGCCCAGGAGGATTATTCGGAGAAACGGCGGGCGAATTGGGTGGAGTCGGGCGAACAGCCAATTTGTGACAGAGAATTTTCATCATTGTAGCGGTTGTCCGGCGAGGGTACGTTGAGTAGGAGCAGAAGGCCATCAGCGACTGTTACCGGCGGGGCGGGAGAAGGACCCCAAGCAATTAAGCTACGCACCTCGAGGTGGATGTGATTTTCAACTGTATGGTTGAACCTGACAGATGAGGAGACAAAGAGCCGATGTCAGATCAAGCCATGGTGATGCTGTAAGTGGGTATGGGAAGCAGAGCGAGATGAAGCGTCGGGGAAACAGCTGGAATTTGCGGGATACAATAGAGATACGTTGAGGATCTCCGACAAGGGTTCTCCATGGGCGTTGATACCGGATATCCAGGTAACCATATATCCGTATGCAAAGAAGCCCCTGCGACGTCGAGAACGACTCAACATCTTCCCTCGAATCCAATATCCGCGGCGTGATTTGTAAAACGAAGCAGGGCTCAAGGGAAACACTCACGCGTCGGCGATGGGCACCATGGCAAGTGTGTGGTATGCATCCACAAGGAACGACCGCGAGGAGACAAGAGAATACGAATGTAGAAAGCCCGCGAACGACAGGGCGGGCGGGGCGGCGAAAATTGATGTCCAGCCTGGCCTAGACAGCACCGGCACGACTGTGTCAGTGTAATATTGCCGCATTTCGTCCTAAGGTGCAGGGAAAGCTCCTGGTGAGTGCACGCCAGCATAGAACGGATTACGAAATCAGAAATTCGTTGCTCTGACGCGAATCAGGACGAGGTCCGCAGTACAAGGTGCTCCAAATACTGCAACTCGCCCCGACGAACCCAATGCGGTAGCGGTGCACTACCATACACAACCTGAGAACAAGCGAAGCCTGCGCCCAGAGACGAAAACGCACCACGATGCCGCTCCCTTCTTCTCCCAACATGTCCCTTTCGATCTCCGTGCCGGCGGTCAGGGCTGCAGCTCGGCAGGCATCGTCAAGTGCTTCTTGCCCCTGATCGGTCCACACTTCGTCTATCCCCCACAACAACGCGATGGGCACCGTGTGCTGTGGGAGCGACTGAAGATAGCCGTACCACCTCGAGCGTTTTTCTAAGAGCCTGGCAAGCGCACATCAGGTGCGCCTGCGCGGTCACTATGCACCCTTCTTATGGACTGACGGAAAATACTTACTGCTCGCCATAGAGTGCCAGCGACAATGCTAGCCGGGCAGCATGACCATATGGAACGATGGGGATGGCGTCTGCAAGCGCACAGGACCGAGCCGAGAGCACAGTGGCCTTCGGTATGGTGACCACTGAACAGTATAGCATCGACGCAACAGCACCCGGGACGGCGCGCGAATGTCCGATGGTTGGCGAGAATAAGGGAATGCGAAGATAGAAGTGAGCGTGACAGGGGCAGACGGCCCTTGGGCAGGGACGCGACTCACAGGTCGTATGGCTGTCTATAGGCATTGTCGAGTCATTGAACACACGCAAGCCGCCATGGTCAGTGTCTGGGACGACAGACAGCCTGTGGTCGATCCATATGTCGTGCTGGGAGCACCAGCTGAGCAGGGTCGATACCACGTCACGAGCATCTCCAGGCATTCTAGGATCGGCGAAACCTCGAAACTCACGTCGGCGGGAGCAGCACCGTCCAGAAAAAGAGCGTAGCGGCCGACGAGACGGCGGTGGTGAGCAGCAGCTGGTGGGCAGTGGACGCGTCTCGTCCAGAACAAGTAAAGCGTTCTCACGTTGCACTCGGCCTTTGCTCTCCCTTCCCGAGGCAAGCCAACGTTTCTGACAGTCCCTTTCTGACAACGTAAGATGGAAAGCTTATGGGCCATGGCACATTCTCCCCCGTAACGTACTGAGACATCGTCGTAACATTCGTGAAAAGTAACGAAGCACCACACAAATAAGAGCATGAAACTACCCAATGAGACCACCTACTGGCAAGCTGCCGGTCTTTATTGGTCTTTCTTGTTCTCGCCTGCCGCCGACGTCGTCGTCGCAGACCTATCCTTCTTGTCC